TGTTTTTATGTTAGTATAGGGTCTTGCTGTGTAACTCACAGACACCCGCCTGTCTGCCTCCTGAATGCTGGGATTGAAAGTGTGCACCACACCCGGCTTTGTTTTTAATTACTTAAAAAACACAGGGCTGGAGAGATGGCTCAGGGGTTAAGGGCACTGGCTCTTCTTAGAGGTCCCGAGTTCAATCCCCAGCAACCATATGGCAGCTCACAACCATCTATAGTGAGATCTGGTGCCCTCTTCTGGTATGTAGGTGTACATGCAGATAGAGTACTCATACATAAAAGTCTTTCCAAAAATGTATTTATTTTTATTTTATGTCTGAGTGCCTGCACATATGTCTCTGCAACACACATGTCTGGTGCCCCCAGACCCCAGAAGAGCGTGTTGTATTTCCTAGATCCTGAGTTACAGGTGGTTGTGAAACACTTGGTGTTGTTAGGAACTCGATCTCCAGGAAAGCAGCAAGTTCCCTCAAGTGCTGCATGTTCTCTCCAGCGCCTTAGTTTTTAATTTTAATTTCGTTTTGGAAACAGGACATCACTATGTAGCTCTGGCTGGCCTGGAGCTTGCTGTGTAGACCAGGCTGGCCTGGAACTCACAGAGATCCGCCTTCCTCTGTCCCCTGAGTGCCGCTGTGCCCAGAAAGGGAGCCTTCTTTGCTTAGAACTGACAAGTAGTGATCTTGTGCTCAGAGAAGCCAGCCCTGGGGCCGGGGGTGCGGCTTTGTGGGGAGAGGTTTGAGAAGAAGGCCTTGTGTTTGGGTCCCCAGCACCTGAGCAGTCAGGCAGCCCTCCGTACCTGCAGCGCCGAGGCTGTGGAGACTTGGTGCCTGGAAGTCGCTGACAGCCAGCCTCGCCGGCCAGTGAGCTCAGGTCTCTGTCGCAGATCCAGGCGAGGGGGACTCAGGTGAGCCAAGCTTGACCCTGGAGCCCACAGGCCACACCAGATGCGGTGTCTCGCATCAGCACGCCCTGAACTCCTGCGGCAAGAAGGAGGGCAGGGACGGAGGAGCCACCCGGAGCTCCAGCGCCGGCCAGCCTGGAGTCCGAAGGATGGCAGAGAGACCTCGCCTCGGTAAGCTGGGAGAACCCACCTGTGGGGGTCCCCGCCTCCACCAGCCATGGCACACCTAGGCACCCTCCCATCATCCACACAGAGCACAACCACAGGGTGAGGTAGAGAGCCATAGAGGATGGCACCAGAGCTGACCTTTGGCCTCCATGTGCGTATGTACCCACATGAGCATGTTCGCACGCACGCACGCACGCACGCACTTGTGAGAAAAGCTACACAGCCTCCTGTGTGCCCCGCTCACGGACCCTCCGTGAGTGTGTTCATCACTCACGCTGGAAACGGAGACCGCAGAACTTCTGTACCAGCTCCACAGAAAGCACACGACCTAGGGAGGTTAAGAAAGAGAACACAGGGGCTGGAGAGCTGGCTCAGCGGTTAAGAGCACTGGCTGCTCTTCCAGAGGTCCTGAGTTCAATTCCCAGCACCACATGGTGGCTCACAGCCATCTATGGTGCCATATGGTGCCCCCTTCTAATGCACAGGCACACATGAAGGCAGAATTTGTTTACGTAATAAATAAATCTTTTTTTAAAGTTTTTTAATTTTATGTGCATTGGTGTCAGGCCTGGAGTTACAGACAGTTGTGAGCTGTCATGTGGGTGCTGGGGTTTGAACTCCGGTCCTTAGGAAGAGCAAACAGTGCACTTAACCATGGAGCCATCTCTTTAGCCCATAAGTAAATCTTTAAAATAAGAAAATTCATGATCCTTAAAAAAAAAAAAAATAGCACTGCTCTTCCAGAGGTCCTGAGTTCAGTTCCCGGCAACCACGTGGTGGTTCCCCACTATCTGTAATGAGATCTGGTGCCCTCTTTTGGCATCCAGGTGTACATGCAGATAGAGCACTCACAACATAAAATAAATAAAATCTTTGAGAGAGCGGCCATGGAGTCAGGCTGTCCTAGGGTGCCCACTGTGCCCGCCTGGCTGGCTCCAGCCACGACTACTGATGTTACTCAGAAAAAGAGCCCCCACTGGCTTGATGTAACAGGTGTCAAGGCTGCCTGGGGAAGGCGGGCTCCAGCATAGCTCTGAGGCAGCAAAGTGTGAGCCAGTCCGAAGGCCGCTCCAGATGGAGGGCAAGCCCAGGCAGAGGGAGAAAGAGAAGGCGGGTGGGAAACTCCAGTGATTCAATACGGCTGTGGGGCTAGTACAGGGTGGGCAGCCTGCGAGACGGCAGCGTTTATAAAGACATTTCTACATAGTGAGGCCAAGGGCATGTGCCCTTTGCCATGGACTGTGAGAGCGGTCCCACGCAGCTCTGGGAATCTCAGTGAGGGGAGGTCTGCCTGGCCGAGCGGCCTCCGAGATGCTCACGGACCTATGGCTGGACTTTCCAGTTAGGTCCGTGTTCAGAGAGCTCTGGCCTGAGTAGCCGATAAGACAAGTGAGCTGCTGAGGAGAGCCTGGGGGCCAGGGTAAACAGGAGGTCTGTACTCTGGAGGCAGGGGAGACACGGGGCAGGTCGTCGACAGCTTTTTTAAAAATGTGTGCTAGGCTGGCCTGGATGTTGCTGTGTAGTTGAAGATGACACTGGACTTCCCCAGTGCCTCGGCGGGCGGTTGTTCTACCACAGAGCTACAGCCTTGATTGGCTGATTGCGACAGGGATGGAACAAAGAGCTCCCAGCTGTGATAAGCAGTTCTGACAGTAAGCCACACCCTATCTTCACCATTCTTATTTGTTTTTCCAAGATAAAGCGTGTCTGTGTAGCCCTGGCTGTCCTGGAACTCACTGTGCAGACCAGGCTGGCCTCGAATCCAGAGCTCCACCTGCCTCTGAGGTATGGACCCCCTGACACTGTGGCATGGACGTTGTCGGTGCCGGCGCCGAGCCTGGCTTCTCTGTAAGAGCAAGTGCTCTTTGCCACCGAGCCAGCTCTCTACACCTTGCGCTGGTCCGTGTGCAAACAGGGAGCTGTTTCTGCCGCTTCCACGGCCCAAGTGCTGGAATAACACTTGGGCTATTATGATAAGCCCTGTACGTACTTCCCTTCTTATGGTTTAAAAGCAGATGATTTACCAAGCGGTGGTGGCTCACGCCTTTAGTCCCAGCACTCAGAGAGGCAGAGGCAGGTGGAGCTCTGAGTTCCAGGCCAGCCTGGTCTACAGAGTGAGTTCCAGGACAGCCAGGGTTATGAAGAGAAACCCTGCCTTGAAAAACAAACAACAAAGCAGATAATTTTTTTCAGTTTTAATTCATTTTTTACATTTTGCATTGATCTCTTCGAAATCAAGAGAATTTCAGTTGCGGGCGTGCCACAGCTTAATTGCTCGGTGTGTTTTCCTTGACAGTAATAGTATATGTAATAATTGAAGGTATCATTAATTTATTTTTTAAGATCCTGTTTTCCTTTTGGGTGAATGAATGTCTTGCCATCATGTAGGTATGTGTACCACACGTGTGCCTGTGCCCACGGAGCCCAGAAGAAGGTACTGGACCCCCAGGACTGAGTTTTGGACAGTTGTAGCTGCCATGTGGGTGCTGGGAACAGAGCCTGCCTCCTCTGTGGGAGCTCTTCACGGCTGAACGGCTCCAGTCCTGACGGCAGACTGTCATGGAATACAATAACGCTTACCTTTGCTTACCTTAAAGGCAGTTGCTGTCCTAACAGATTTGTATACAATGTTTCCGACCCAGACCCGCAGCCTCTGCCTCCAGTCCCAGGTACCAAGGAGACTGTGTCAAACACAGAGTGTAAGGAAAGGGTTCGGAGGGGGTGGACGCTGAGGGGCCCTACAGCAGACCAACGGTCCGGTCAGGCAGCCCGACTCCAAAGCCCAAGTTCTTCACACGCGACGAGGAATGCGAGCTGGGCTCAGGAGGAGTGTTCACAGCCAGGACGGCGGCTGTCACACTGATGGGCTGTGACAGGTTCACGGCAGTCACTGCAGGAGAAGGGAGCAGACAGCAGAGAGGTCCCGGGATGGTGGCTGGTGGTCGGTCTGCGGATGCCAGGTGGGAGGACGATACAGCTGTAAAATGTTGATGCTGGCAAGGGAGGCTGAGCATAGTCGGGCACTGGGCAGCTGCCATCCAGAAGAGCTGTGCACCCAGGGCGTCCGAGGCTTCTTGGGCAGTGAGGCCACTTGGCACCTGGTGGGCGTTCACTGTTGTCAAATGAATGGATGTGCTTCCTACGACCTTTGTGCTCTCCCGTGAGCCCGGACTCTCACAGTTTCCTGCTTAAAACGAAAGGACCGCCCAGCATGCATAAACCAAAGAGGGCCACATAACCCAGCCTTGGGAGGTGGAAGCAGGAAGTCAGGGCTCCAGGTCACCCTTGGCCTCAGGACAAGCTGGAGGCTGGACTACGCTGACAAGAGCCTGTCTCAAAAGCAAGGACAAACCCAGCTCAGGAGGTGATGGAGCTGCCACCAAGCCAAGACAGGCTGAGTCCAGTCCCCAGGACCCTCATGGTAGGAGAGACTGACTTCTGCAAACTGTTCTCTGACCTCTGCACATGTGCTGTGGTCCACATAAGCCTATACACACACACCAAATAAATAAAATCTAAAAACAATAGGACACTTTTTAAAAATATTTATTATGTATACAGTACTCTGCCTGCACGCCAGCAGAGGGCACCAGATCTCACTATAGATGGCTGTGAGCCACCATGTGGTTGCTGGGGATTGAACTCAGGACCTTTGGAAGAGCAACTGGTGCCCTCAACCTCTGAGCCATCTCTCCAGCCCGATGGCACATATTTTTAACCCCAGCACCTCGGGAGACAGAGGCAGATGGATATTTGTGAGTTTGAGGCCAGCCTGGTCTACAAAAGGAGTTCCAGGATAGCCAGGGCTACACAGAGAACCGCTGTCTGGAAAAACCAAAGCAGGGGAGGGAGGAGGAAGAAAGGAAAGAAGAAGGGAGGGAGGGAGGGAAGGAGGGAGGGAGGGAGGGAGGGAGGGAGGGAGGAAGGAAGGAAGGAAGGAAGGAAGGAAGGAAGGAAGGAAGGAAGGAAAACCCAAGAGGGAAAGAATGGTGACGCAGTGGTTCTAACCTGACTGTAGCTCATACCAACCAAGGCTTCCTGCGGGACCACTTCACGCACACGGAGGGGGAGGGGCATAAGCATGAGCTGTTGCCAAGCTGCCCAGGTGACTGACAGACATCACTTGCCCTGTGGGCACCCGGTCCGAAAACCCAGTGAAGCTTGGGATCCCGTCTGGGCTGGGACAGGCCTCTCTTCATTTTCTATGTCCTGTCACCCTACCCCAAGCCCCTGGTACAGGGGGCGCCAGCGTTCCTCCATCATAAGCTGTTGACATTAGGGCAGGATTTTCCTGTATATCCCAGGATGTTTAGCGAGCGGCCTTGGTCTGCACCCCCCAGACGCCAGTAACATCCCTCCAACCAAAACAAACCTGTCTCCAGACACTGCGGAACACCTGTGGGGGAGCACCCGGGTTAGAATTCCTAAGAATCCCCATCTCATCGGCTTGCCCAAGTTGCAGGCAGAGCCAAGCCGGGCTGGAAGGCAGCAAGCAGCAGATTTACTCGGGCGCAGCGGGAGGGGAGGCCCCGGGCTGCACCATACGAACACAATGGAGGGGCTGCGTGCCAGCGGGCTGACTGATGTGGTCCTGCCCCAGAGGGACAGAGTTCTCCAGAACTCTCATTCCCGGACTCCCGCTCAGTCACTGGAGGGCCCAGAGCAACAGCCACAGGCCAACAGTCTTTCCGGGAACGGACAGGGGGGTGTGGGGTGGGGGTGGAAGGAGATTCTTTCCTTCTGTAGATAATTTCCTGGCAGCGTGCTCTGCTGTGTGATTGGTGGGGCGCAGGCGGGGCGGGGCCTTCCAGCTGTGGGCGCCTGGGTTCCTGGCGGCCATCTGACGGGGACACCGACTGCAGAAGTCTGAGGGTTCGGGGCTGGGGCTAAAACGTGGTTCCCATCCTAAGGGATGTGGAAACTGTGGGCGCCAGTTCCTTAGAGCCGGGGTGAGAAAGCCGTCCGCATCTTCACAAATCCTTTGCCTGCAGGCGCCGGTACCTGAAAGAAGACGGGACGGGAGGCCTGGAGAGACGCAGGGAGGAGGGTTGGGGGAGCACGGACGGCTCCCGGCATCTCCCCGGTTAGCCCGCCACTCACTCCAGCTGGAGGCTCACAGCACCCAAAAGCAGGACGGTCACGAAGAAGCACACGAGCAGAATCCTAGCTTCCCACAGATCGTGGCTGCCTGTAAGGAACCCAGAGGCCGTGGTGACCCTGCGCATCCCGCCGGGGAGCCTCCGGGATCTCGGGAGAGGCAGGGGGGAGAACCTGGGAAGCAGCGCTTGCGGGGCCAGCAGGTCGCCTCCGCGCCCTCGCAGGTGGAGCAGTTGTACAGGATGGTGCTGCCCCCTGCAGGAGACAACGGGAGAAGCGCCGGCAAGCGAAGCCACCGCGCCACCCTTCCCGCCCCCCAGCTTCCTGCCCCGTGCTTTCCGCTACCCACGAGGCTCCACGGCCTCTTACTCACGGCAGGCGGGAGCACAGAGAGCTGAAATGAAAGACAAGGAGGGTGGCTGGCCTGCTCAGTCACACCCCACTCGGCTACAGATCCTAGGCGCCCCTGACGCCCCTCCCCATCAATACCTTCCCGGGTGTACTGGGGGATCTTGGTCTTCTGAAGCCATTGCCAATACGAAGGGAGCGAGGAGAAGGATCTTTTTATCTCTGGAGAGGCACAGCACAGCAGTGTTGTTCTAGATCTATCAGTGCCTGCCCCACTGCCCTCCCACACCCCTCCTTGGGTCTCCTAAGGTCCATCCCCTGACCTCACCCATGACCCTCAGGACTCGGTGAGTTTTCTCTGTGATTTTTCTCATGGTCTCCTCATCTGTGGAGATGGGCAAGAGTGAGCTACTCTTTCAGTACCTTCCAGAAGTTTGTTTGTTTTTGTTACCCTATTTCCTAGGACACAGAATTCTTCGAGAAGAGGCTAGCAGTGTGTTCAGACGGGGCCTCTAGAACTCTCCAGCCACCCCCTTGGGGTGTAGGGGTGACTGTTGCTGGGCTGAGCTCCCGTGTCTTCTGTTACCTAGGGCAAAGGCTGAGAAGTCTGGGGGAGCCCATTCCTTCCACTCTGCCTGGCTGCTGAGCTGAGCCAGGCGGCTTGGCAGGGCATGAGCTGGGAGACGACAGAAGATGCAGGCCTCGCCGACGGCCAGGAAAACCCCACCTAGCGCCAGCACCCACATGAGGCCTGCTTCAGGACGGGTGGGAGCTGGACCCCCTTGGACCGAGAAGGACTCAGAATGCTCTGAGGTTGGGGTTCTAGGGCTTCATGTAGGGGGTTCTAGACTGACCCGGAACAATGCTGTACTTTCAGCCCTCAGTTCTGGCAGAGCTGCCCTGGGCCCCAGAACTGGAGGGTAAAAGACGTCTGTATGAGGCGATGGACGGAGAGGTCAGGGACTCTGTTGCAAGGGACAGCGGCATTTACACGTTGGGACAGCGGTGTGGACACGTCTGTGGGTCTGAAAGCAGTTTTATTTTCCTCCTTTAAGTCCCAGTGACCGAAGAACGACTCCGCCCATGCAGACATGCTGTGCAGCCCTCCACCCAGGATGAAGAAATGCTGCCCCTTCCCATGTCCTCCCCAGCTCGCCCAAGCCTCTCCACCTCCTCTCTGCCCAGGACGGCGCTAGGCCTTCCCCAGCTATTTCCTAGCAACAGGCTCATGGTTGTCTCAGCAACCGAGAGCTTGGAGAGGTCTCCGGGGCCAGCTAAGCCCAGTGTGTTTCACTCGCATAGGAAGAGTCTAGTGACATGAACTCGGACAAGGCGCTCCTGCCTATGTGGCGGTGAGGGCGCTCTCTCTCTCTCTCTCTCTCTCTCTCTCTCTCTCTCTCTCTCGCGCACACACACACACACACACACACACGCGCACGCAAACACGTACACACCCTATGATTAAACTAAATCTCAATCTGCTCTCACACATACCACAGATATACCTGAGCCCAAAGAGTTGCTAAGCAACTCCAAACAGGCCCGGACACGCCAAGATCACAGGAGCGTCACATAAACACAGGAGTCAGCAACGCTAATGACCCAAGGTGCCAGCCACGTCGGCTGGCGTGCGCGCGCGCCCGCACACGCCGCCATCTTCCCCACGTCCAAGCGCCACCTGCACAGCCTCCTCTAGAACACTTGGCGTTCCGGAGGGTGCACTAGCCCCACACTGCTGCTCTCCTAGCTCCCGAGTATCAGCCTAGGATGGGGCGGCTACTTTCACTCTCCCCACAGTGGGTGGCTTGAGACACGGTGAAGGCACCTCCCAGCGTGCCCTGGCCTCCTAATGGTCACAGTCGGATAAGACTCCAGCAGGGGACGCCACCGTCTAGGGGAGAGGTCACATTTGGTAATTCAAGGTCCTTCACCCTCGTGTTCAACCCTCCAGAGTTCTGCTCGGTCTAGCCTGGGCAACACTGAGGACCCATCCTCAAGCAGGAACAAGCTAGAGAAGCCACGATGCTTTCCCAGGATAAGCCCCAGTGTAGGTCTGGGTCGTTGGTGAGTCCCCGCGGTGGAGGCCGCCGGACTGGGGAGTCCCAGCCGACATCTTAAGGTCCAGTCATGTGTGCTGGGACCCTGACTCTCATAGCCCCCACCCCAGGACCAGAAATTGGTTTAGGGAGAGGCGTTCCCTCCCTCTCCACAGTCGAGTGAAGGGCAATGAAGCGTCCTCAGTGGCGGACAAAGCGCAGAGACCTGGAGTTGAGAAGGTCTTCGGGGTCTGGGAAGACAGAGTCCAGGCGGAAGCCGTGTTCCAGGGCCACGCGCAGCACCTCTTCCAGGAAGGCAGGCGCGCTCACCACCTCGCGGCGACCATCCGGCCCGCCGGTCCACAGAGGTCGCAGCCCCAGTCTCTCATACTCGGCTTCAGGGAGTTCCTGGGGGCGGGAGGCCCACTCCAGACGGAAATGCGGGCCCCCCTCTGCCCGGTCCCCACTGGCCACGCCAAAGCGGTCGCGCATGGCGCCCAGACACTCGGGGTCCGTGCAGAAGAGGTTGGCTCGGAAGGTGTCCACGCGCACGGAGCTCAGCTCGTAGTGGTGGGGGCCCCTTCGGGCTGAGAAGTGCACCCGGCGGGGGCTGACGTCCACATCCGCGTGGAGCAGGGCGGCCGTGGGTGCAGGCGGGCCCCGGGAGGCCTCCAGCTCCCGCAGGGCATCCAGGAGGGGCCGGATCTGGTAGAAGTCGGCCTCGGCTTTGAGAAGCGCGGTTTCCCCATACCCCCTGGGCAGGTCCAGCCGGCCCAGCCGCAGGAAATTGAGGACGTGCCGGAAAGCCTTGCCATCCCTGTCTATGAAGTAGTGGCCGTCTCCTCGCGGGTTGAGGCTGGCTGGCATGAGGGTGTCGGCCCTAAACATGGCCCCCAGCATGGAGTCTGGGAAGCGTGTCAGGGTCTCCAGCGTAGTGGAGTACAGTGTGCCCCCCACATTTAGGGTCACGGGCCCCCCAAAGGAAGGGGGTGAGGAGGACACAGGAGGGGGGGAAATTTTGGGGGCTTACAGGAGACGGGCAAGGAGAAGGAGGCGGAATCCCCAATTTGGGGAGGGACTGGAGGGCGGCGTTCGGCCCCGCGACGCTGGAGGCAGAGGCTGGAGAACAAGACAGCGAAGGCTGTAGCTCACCCCAGCTACTCTGCTGGCAGTCGGGGGCTTCGGGGCACAGGAACCCCCGAAAGGATGGGAGAGCCGACGGACAGGAGAGGCCGGGCGGGGCTCCGGCGCGGACGGCCGCGGCTCGGCGATCCCCCGCGTTCTCCAGCGGCCTCCGGAGTTCAGCCAGCAGGCGACGGCGGCGGGCGCGGCGGGCGCGGGAGCGCTCGGCGCCCGGGGTTCTGAGCAGAGCGCGTCCGCGGTGGGAGGGTCCACGCCGGGTTCCGCGGACCTGTCCGGAGGGCGGCCAGGCTCGGGGCGCGGGCCCGGAAGATGGAGGCGCAGTGAGGGGCGGGGGCGACCGTTCCGGGCGGCGGCGGAGACGGCGCCCGCGCAGCCGGCGCCGAGAGCCCCGAGACGCCGTCGGGAGCGAGCAGGGGCTCGGGACTCGGGCGGTTCCGCCGTCCGGCTCGGCGCAGACGTCGCAGAGGCCCTCGCCACCCCCAGGAAGTGGCCTGAGGGCAGCGGTCGTGGCCCTTTAAGCGACAGCCCCGCCCCTTAGCGCCGCCCTCGCCCCCGTGGGCCGCAGCGCGGGGCGGGGGCCGGGCCGCGCGGGCCTCGGCCGACGGGAGGGACGGGGCGGACGGGCTGGACCGGCGCTGCGAGCGGGGCCGGGTGACTCACAGGCTTCGCCACGGAAGCGGCCCCGCGGTCCCCGCAGCTGTGCGTGACCTTCCCGGCGCGACGTGGCCGGGCTGGGGCCTCCGACCCATCCGTCAGAGAAAAGCCGGGGCGGGACCGTCGGGAACTCCCGAGGGGGCGGGTGCTGAGCCATCGCATTCCGGGGATGCCTCCCGGTCCCCACGCCGCGGCTTCCCCGTCGCCTGAGCTCCACGCCCCCCGCCCGCCGCTGCCTGCCGGAGACCTCTGGCCTCGCTCGGAGCCGGGACCGCCCGCACGGTGGGAGCCACCGCGCCCGACGCCCTGCCGAGCCCCCAGGTGGCGCCCAGCAAATGGACGGGAAGAGCAAAGCTGAGACTTTAATGGAGAACAGGCCGGGGCAGGGTTGGGAGGGTCTGGAGTCAAAGGGTGTGGAGGTCGTGACTCCGGCGCAGTTTCTCTGGGTCGTCTGACGCCATGAGGGAGAAGTCTCGGAATATGTCGAGATACGTCTCGTCTCCTGAGGAAGACAGGGCAAAGGCTGGACAGCTGGGCTACCACGGAGGGCATCACGGGGCAGGGCCGGGTCTGGCAGGCACGCTCTTCAAGGGTGGGCGCATCCTAAGCGCGGTAGCGCTTTGCCTTTGTTCCAAGGGTCAAGCACGTTTGACATGCCCAAAACGTGTTTGTTGAATAAGCAATGGCATTAATTGGGCACTAAGGGGACAGGTAAGCAAGGGCCAGATTCCGGGAAGTATGTGGTTACGTACCTGCCTGGCCCTGAGCCGCTTCCGTCTCCCTCATCTTTGCCAGCCTTAGCCTGAAGGGTGGGGATTAAGGAATAAAACTTAATTTTATTCTCCATCCTTTGTCCAACTCCCGTGCTTTGAGCTGCATCACCCCTTAAAAAAGGCCTCCCCATGACTAGGTTACGAAAGCAAACACACGAACTTTTCTGCATTGTTGATGTTCTAATAAAGGCCCCCAGGCTGGCCACGCACACCCCTGACCTCACCCCTCCCCAGACCTCACCGTCCAAGTCTGGTTTTGGCTTTAGTCCCACCCCAACGAGGAACGGACTGCCCATGTGCCAGCCTGACCCCGGCATCCTCACAGGGTTACGATGTCAGCGTTGGCAGTTTCCATTGCAATGGTCAGTGGGTCCCTGCCTTCCGTGTCGAGAGCCCCCAGGTCTGCACCCCGTTTCAGGAACAGGCAAGCGAGCCTAGAGAGTGGCTAAAGTCAGCTGCAAACACCCCCAGCTTCATTCCCAGAAGACTTCCTCCCTGTGGAGGCCTACCCTGTGTGGCCAAGAATGGTGGCGTGGTGGAGCGGGCCCCGGCCGGCACCGTCTGCTTGGTTAACATTCGCCCCGTTCTGGAGAAGAAACTCACAGGCCAGGAGAGAATTCTGCATGGAGGGATCAAGGAAGGAGACATTTTTAGGGGTGGATTTCTAGGTGTTTTAGGGTGGTATAATGAGACAATAGTGTGGTGTTCAGGGTCCAGCTAGATTTAGGCCTTGGCTGGCACTACATGCTCATGTAATAATCTGTCCTGGAGCTGCAGAGGTGGCTCAGAGGTTAAGAGCGTTGGCTGCTCTTCCACAGGAGCTTAATTCCCAGCCCAAACATGGTGACCTAAAACTGTGACTCCAGTTCCAGGGGACCCAACACCTTCACACATACATACGTGCACCACCAGGCACTGACGCTCCATGATTTAATCCCAGGGCTGAGGCAGGCAGAGCTCTGTGAGTTCAAGGCCAACCTGGTCTATAGAACGAGTTCCAGGACAGCCAAGACCACACAGAGAAACCCTGCACCCTGAGGAGGCACACTGCTCTTTTTAAGGCGTTTTTGTGCATAGGGGTTTGCCTGCATGTGTGTGTGTGGCCAGATGCAGCGAGTGAGGGGCAGAGGAGGGTGGCTCTCCTGGCAGTGCAGTGACACTTAGGATCTGCCCTGTGGGTGCTGGGGACTGAGTCCTGGTCCTCCGCAGCAGCAGTGGGCACTCCTGACCGCCGAGCCATCCCTCTGGCCTCTGCTCGTCCTGGCTTACAGATGAGGAGACCAAGGCACAGGGAGAGAGATAACCTGTGTAAAATCTCCTGTGAGTGGCGGGTGCAGACTCTGACTCACTAGCTCCAACACCCAGTCTTGTGTTACTTATCTGCCCCTTTGGGGCGGAGAGCTCTGGAGGGGTCAGTGGGGGCTTTAGGGTGGAGTAGGGAAGGTCTGCGTGGTCCTCACAGCGGCCGTGGCCCGGATCAGAGGTGTGGCATTCCTCTGACTCGCATTGACCCAGTTGACATCAGCTCCGTGGGCCAGGGCATCAGCCATGGTGGGAAGAGACGGGGGGTGTCCAGAGGCTTGAAACAGCAGCGCCCCAGGGTGCAGGCTGCCCGTGTCATCACACGGGGACTCTGTTAGGGGATTTAGTTCGTTAAGGAGGTGCCGGGTCTAGAGAGAACCTTTAGCACGGCCCGGGCGTGCAATGGGCTCAGTCACGTCCAGATTGTGGGGAGGCCCTCGTGACTCAGGGCTGCGGTGAGAGACGCGAGTGCTGTGCATACGTGTTGGTGTGTGTGTGTGCAGGGCCTGGGTGTGGAAAGAGTCACTCATCTGCCCAGACTGGCTGGACGCCAGAGGCAGGCTGACTCTCTGGCAGACTCGGCTCTTTCCTTGCCCTGTCCCGCCCAGGCTCACAGTCCTCTCCTGAGGCTTGGCCAGGAGATGCCCCTTTTGTGGCTCCCCCTGCCGTGCTCTACCCACCCTTCTCCCCATGTCAGCATCACACCCTGCTCTAGGCCCCTGGCAGGCAGTCTGGTCCCTCCCGGCCTCCTCCAGGGGATGCCCAGGGCCTCACAGTCTGCCTCCCTGAAGGGCCCGGCCCAGCGCTGAGCATACGGCAGCCAGCCAAGCAGACTCTCTACCTGTCTTGGGTCTGACGGCCCCTGGCTGTGGCCTGATGGAGGGCTTTGGGGGCACAGGAGGATGTCCTCTCGGCGGTGCCCTGCCACCTCTCCGCCCCCGAATTTCAGGAAGCTTGGTCAGGAACTTTTTCTCCACATATTTGGCGTGAATCCAGGCTTCCTTTTCCTGCCTGGAGGTTTGGAGAAGAGAAAGTCTTTGGTCCCTCAGCCCCCTCGACACCCCACTGGAGGGAAGCCCTGGGCACCTCCACCCCCTCCTCACCGGGAGCAGCTGGGTCCCGGCTTCTTCACCGCCATGGCGTCCACCCGGGCCTCATAGATCTGGTTGATGACTACATTCCCCAGCTCACACATAAGCTTCAGGAGGCCCAGAGAGGCCAAGAGAAAGAGGCCAGGTAATGGGGTGAGTGCCTGAGCCCCGGGAGTCCTCAGTCCTTTGTCCTCACAATGTCCCTAGTTACCTTCACTAGCTCTGGTTCCCACGAGTCGAGAGTCAGGGACCGCACTTTGGAGAAGTGCACACCAAGGCTTCTGCGGGGCCAAAGGGAGAGTCATGCCTTGGCGGGCAATGGCCGGTGAGAAGACTCGGACCCCTGTGCGGAGGGGCAGAGGGGCGGACCCGGGAGGCGGGACAGCAGAGGCCTGTATCCCCAGCTGGGCTCTGGCCTGCCTCCCTCCCTCCCTTTATCTTCATTGCGACCTTGTGTTCTCTACCCTCCTCACTGTGGTCTGGAACACTCCGTGCCGCCCCCCTCCCGCCCCCGCCCCCCCCCCCCCGTGCCCCTGCACCCTTCAGTCTGGTGGTGAGGCCTTAATTAAGGACCTGCTGGGACCTCGCAACCCCTTCTCTCCTTAAGGCTCTCTGTTGGCTGTCCCACCCTTAGCAAACCTAAGACAACAAATTCCTCTAGGAGCCCCCAAGGCTCATGTGCATTCTGTGCAGCAAGCCTGGTGGCCAGCAACAGGGAAGGGAAGCCAGGGTAGCGTGAACTAGAGGAGCCTGTACGATGGGGCGGAGCCCTGTGATAGGGCGGAGCCTTGTGATGGGGCGGAGCCCTGTGATAGGGCGGAGCCTTATGATGGATCGGAGCCTTGTGATAGGGCGGAGCCCTGTGATAGGGCGGAGTCTTGTGTTGGGGCGGAGTCTTGTGATAGGGC